TCTCTCTCACACACACACACACACACACACACACACACACACACACACACACACAACCCTGAACTATATCTGTCAAGGAAACTGAGCAGTAAAGGGAACACTATCGTACCTGTGTAGAGCTGAAGTGTGACACAGTGGGAGCCCAAAAATGTTATAGCCTGTGCTTCCACTGACAGAGCCTTGAGCCCTTCCCTGTGAAGAAGACGTTAAAGCTGCAGGTGTGTTTGCTTTCACGACACCCCCTGAGCTTTGCGTGGTTTTCCCTTTACTCCCTCCCTTAAGCCAAAGAAATGACTTCCCAAAGAGCTAAAGTGAAAACCCAAGGTATGCAATGCTTCAACGCTTGTGTATTGTGCCAGGGTGAACTCTTCTTACGTCAGGAAAATAAAAGTATTCAAAGCTCACCAATAACAAGTGAGTGGGAGAAAGCCTGGCTTAGGAGAGTAGTGAGTCTTTGAATTTTCTATTGACTAATTGACTGAAGCCTAGATGTTGTGAAATTGTACATTAATTTGTAGATGTCTAAATGGTAGATAGGATGGCTTCAAAAGTTATGGGTAAGCTGCTATCCTGGTGTATTTCAGTTACTTTTGAAGGCAATTTATAAATTGCCTTCAATGCATTTAGTTTGGGCTTACCGTTTTTGGAGGGTTACAGTCCATCATGGCAGACAGAAGGCATGATGTCAGGAACAGCTAAAGAGGCTACATCTTAATCCATTAAGCAAGAGGGAGGGAGAGGCACAGACCTCAAAGCCCACCCCTGTTGTGGAATATTATTTTAACTAGGCAAAGATGTGTTAAATGCTATAGAATATTACTTTTAACTGTGTAAAGGAGTGTTAATTTTGTTTATGCTGCATCTGTTTAATTATGAAAAAAATGTGTAGCATTTGTTTCACCTTGCCTGCCTACGGTACCTGATTGGTCTAATAAAAAGGTGAACAGCCAATAGCTATGCAGGAAAGAGGATAGATGGGTCTGGTGGCCAGAAAGAATAAATAAGAAGAGGAATCTAGGCTCTGGAGAAGAAAGGAGAGGAATGAGAGAAGTAGGAGGAGAGACGGAGGGTGACACCCAGGGCTAGAAGCCAGGGAACCACCAATCAGACACTAGAAGCAGTGA